GAGACCTACAGCCCTAAATTTAAGAAAAGAAGATTATGAGGTTGGTTAAAGCAACAATGCTACTTTCCCGGTCAGCCGCTTTCAGCACTTTGTTACTTTGACAGCGAAATGAGCGATGTAGTCTCGGGTTGGGAAAAGTGCGTACAACTTTACGTCAGTGGTTCACACACACCAGCTTCAGCTATAACAAAGCCAGTCTGTCTGATACAATGGCTGAGGCTAAGAGGACTGTGACGGATGCAGCTTCAAATAGAAAGAGAGAGAGAGTGACCGAGCGAGAGCAGAGTGTACATCCCTGTATCGTGCATTGTTTCCAATTCAGTTAGCAACTTGAGAAGCTATAGTGTGTTTAGATGAAAAGTGTAGTGAAATTCTCTCATCCAGACATGTCAGGAAAATAAAAGCTGCCTCTTCATTATTTCATTTCATCCTTCAGAGTAGCTACAGATTCATCTGTTTCTGGCGAGTCTCAGTTTAACTGTAAATAGTAAGTTACACAGAGGCTTCACTCTGGCTTACTTAAGCAGGATGAGACTGATTTCTTATGATTTACTTGAATAAGCAGGGCTTAAGCTTGCTGAAATAACATCATGATTTGTAAAAGGTTTGGCGACTGGAGGTTGGATTGGATGGATTCATCATTAATGATGCCTTACAGGACGTCAGGAAAAACCAACTCTGCTTGTATTTGTGATGAAACATCATCAAACAGATGTGATGTGCTCAATCTAAAATGTTTGATGTCACTATGGTAGACTTCCTTCTTTCTTCTTTTGCTCTCCATACAGACGTCTCATACTAAAAGCCAGACCTCCAGAAACAGATTCTGCATTTCATTTACAGATTTTTTTTGGATTCTAAAAGGATTTAACCTGGCAGAGATATTTATACACATTGTTTGTCTGCAGCTAATGATAGAAGTAGATCATGCATGAGCCCTGTTTGTCCCTCCTCGTCTCTGATTAGATTTGCAGTAGAGATTAGGTTTTGATCTAGAGGCAATGATGTTACAAAAGTCAACGGATTTATTATGAGTCACTGCAGCTATGAGCGTGCAGTCATGCATTTCTACAAAAAATCATGCTTATTTGTCATGTGGCATGAAAGATAGGTTAGCAGACATACATGCACACACATGAAATTCTACTTTAAAACTGGTATTCAAAGTTGAAGCTGTTGCAGGATTCTGAATCAAAGGCCTTAAAATCAACAAACTGATGATTCATTCTCACCTGAGCTCACACATCCCTCCCAGAAGAAAAAAAAATCCTCCCATAATCCCTCTCTGCTCTCAAATACTTAACTTTCCTCCCTTTCATCTGCCATTTCATCTCCTCCTTTCCTCTCTCTGGTGCCTTACGGTACTTTTACCTCCACTTTTTCCCCATTCCTTTTCCTAAGTCTTCATTCCTCCCATCCCTATAGCTCCCTCTCCAGTCTGAGAGTGTGTCGGGTTATGGACCATATATCTGTATTAATGGCACCTCTGGCTTCAAACCACTCAGTGCTACCTGTCACAGCTCTGTTTCTGCATCCCGTCATTGCCAAAGCATCCCACTGACACTGTTAGGCTCATTATCTCAGGGCCCGGCTCGGCTCGGCTCAACACAGCTCAGCTCAGCGTATTCACAACAACAATCCTGCCAGTGTGTCTGCGAGCTCCGGTCTTACGGAGCCTATTTACTGTGTAAGTGTGACACATATAGAGCAGAGTGAGGAGATCATTAGCAGCCGTCTGTGCAAAGTAGCTGCCTCGTCATCCCCTGGCGTCTTACCCTTTATTTCTTTATGTGTGTGTGTGTGTGTGTGTGTGTGTGTGTGTGTGTGTGTGTGTGTGTGTGTGTGTGTGTGTGTGTGTGTGTGTGTGTGCGCGCTGCAGAACTCGAGTGCAGACCACCGCGTGAGGCTGGACCTGGGCCTGTGGGACAAGTTCAGCGAGCTGGCCACTAAGTGCATTATCAAGATCGTGGAATTTGCCAAACGAGTGCCTGGCTTCACGGCGCTGACCATCGCGGACCAGATCACGCTCCTGAAAGCTGCCTGCCTGGACATTCTGGTGGGTGCATTTGCTTTTCTTTTACAAAAGGAACCAACTTCCTGTTTAGGAGATTAGAAGTGTCTCTCCGTTGCTGAAGTTTGCAGTATTTTAATGCTTATTGTTTTGCAAAGTTGGTAGAAAACTCAGAACGACAGTTTCTGACATGCTTGGTTAAAAATTCATACATTTACCACCTCATGAAACATCTGGACTGCTTATGTAAAACAGTGTTTTTTTGAAATTTTGACAGGGAAACCAGAGACCCAGATAGGCTCTAGATTATTGTTGTTTTTTACTGACTGGAAAAAAGGACAAACATTGAAATACTTACTGAACAACTTGAACACAATCCGTAGTACAGCCCTACGGCACAATAGGAGAAAACACATGTTTGACCGGATGGGAGCTTTAAAGAAAAGTAACGGGAACACCAGAAAGTAAGGGACATTTAAGAAGAAAAAAAACAATCTAACGGTTCCAAAGTTCAAGAAGATATTTCCATGTTTGCTTTATTCTTTCTTCATTCATTTCCTTTGAGCGATGAATAAATATGAATATCTATAGTCATCGCCCAACTTGGCATTCATAATATTTGAAGTGGAAATGTGTAAATATGTGCCGGTGTTACCTGTCCAGCTACAGACTTTATGACGAGTGGATGAATCCAATCCAAAGTGAAGCCAATGACGAAGTGCCTTAAACTAGCATCTTTGCTCGTGACTAGCAGGGGGCGACAGAAGAGTGCCAAATGACTCTGATTACACTTTTCTGTTCTCTTGGGGATATTTGTCATTGACTCCAGCGCTGCACACAAACAGCTGCCTCGACAGTCGAATCAATAATAAATTAAAACAACATAAACAAAGATCAGCATGTAAACAGAGAAGCACAGCAACATCATGTTTTCACATTCCTCACGTTGAACAAGATCAGCACAGAAAACAAAACATAAAAGAAAAATGTTCTAGTCTCTGTCTTAAATTTCAAGCCTTCTTCGGGCCGCATCATGATGTCCATTCTGTGAACTTGAATTCAATACAGTCACATCGAGTATGCTTTAGGGCGGGACTTCCTCGTGATTGATTGATAAGTAAGTGAGTAAGTAAGACTTTATTTATATAGCACTTTTAAAACACTTAGTTACAAAGTGATTCACAGATAAAAGCAATCAAACAATTCATACAGTGAGAATTTTTTTTTTACATAAATGAATCACAAAGCCGAACAAGCCAAGGTTAAGAAGAAGAAAAGACACACAAAAGAGTAGGCACAAGAAAGGGTTTTAGGGGTTTCATGAAGGCTTGTCTGTACAGGTGAGTTCTTGGATGCTTCTTGAAACAGTCCAAAGATTCTGCTGATCTGAAGGTGTGTGAGAGTTGATTCCAAAGAGTGGGGGCTAAAACAGCGAAGGCACGACCACCTTTTGTTTCATAATTGGAGCGGGGGAGGGAAAGAAGCCCAGGATTGGACGATCTGAGTAGACGAGGGGTGGAATATGGTACGAGGGGGTCAGAAATGTAGCTGGACAATTCTTGTCCACATATAGTCACTTTTGGTGCCAAGTAACCAAGGGGGTAGCACCGAACATGTCAACACAGATAGTTTAGCAATGTCCACTTTTTACAGTTAAAGTGCACAGCTGATGTCCCAAATCCAAAATGTTTGAATACTTTGGAGTTCAGACTGCGGCCAAATGAATCTCCAAAAAAAAAAAAAACGTTGGGGTCTTGGTATACTTTCAATTCACGTTTGAGTCACACAGAGTCCCAGTCTCTTTCCTGCTTTTTTACGTGCATTCGTCATCAGACTGTGAACTAGTTTGCAAGAGTTAGTCTAAGATACACAGTTTAGATGCTTCTTCAGTGGAGTCTGAACTCTAAAATATTCAGTGATGAGCTCAAAACCTTCCCTGAACTGTTCACAGCGGTGTCGGTTATATAAACACACCTCTTTTACACATCAGGAAGTTTCCTTCTTGATAGTGTTTATTTTCTTATTTCACTCTTGTTGTTCTGTAAGAATCCATCGACTGTGTGGTGAATCGATAGCCTTAGATCTACAAGGTTTAACCTCAAGCTCAGCTCCCATTAGAGCAATCCTCAAACCTCATTGGTTGACCTACTCGGCCTGGCCAATAAAAATCAAGAAAAATCCGTTGAATTGATCACGCCAGTCAATTAGATTCTTCATGAGGAGTAGCCGTCTGAAGCAGAGATTAGATTGCACACACACACACACACGCATTTTTCACATGGGTCAGTCTGTCGCTCTGTGTTTGTTAATGTCGCCGAGTGTTTTTTTTTAATGGAGATCAGATGTGGAAACATCTGCAGAGCCGGCCGGCTGGATGTTTGTTTGTTTGTTATGTGGGAGTTGTTAAGTGGAGCAATGTCCTGTACTAATGCAGCCTCTGTAATGAGATGGAAAAAAAAAAAAAAAAAGGTGAATGGCTGCGTCTCTTCCTCTCTTGTCTCGCTGTTGTCGACTAATTAAATTATGCTTCATGGCTCAGAGACAGAGGAAGGAAGAGAAAGTGGGAAGATAGGCTTGTTATGCCTCATCAAGACCATTTTTGAACTGATGAACAAATCAGTTTGACTCTGAGGAGGAGTATACTAGTAATATAACCAACCAGATTTTCACTATCTCATGCTGCATTTAACTTCTGGAAGTTCAAATTAAATACAGGCTGTGTTGTCATGTTAGTGTAAACTTGCCTGGCCTGAGACTTGAGAGAGGTGTGAAGAGCTGAGCTATGAGTACAATAACAAAGTGAGCCTTATTGACATTTATCATAATATATTATTTAAAATAAATTCCAAATATGGGGGGGCCATATAGCCTAGCGGTTATGTCACGCGTCCCATGTACAGAGGCTATAGTCCTCTTTGCAGCGATGTTGGGATCGAAACCGACGGCGACCGGCGCCCTTTGCTGCATGTCTCCCCCCCCCCCCCCCCCCCCCCCCACTCTCTCCTCCCAACAGCGCTGCTCCTGGATTCAGAAGGAGCTGAGAGCTGATCTGCTACTTCGGTCAGCTCCGCTAGCGCCTGATAACTTGAGATCGAGCACTCGGCTGAATAAAATATTTTTCAGAGAATAATACTTTATTGATCCCCAGAGGGGAAATTGGGGATGTTATGTTGTTAAAGCCAAGAAAATTGGTGTGATGATGTTGTGAAATGAAAGAGAAAATAGTTGGCTATTTTAAATCTATGACGATTGGACTGATGAGCAGTAATATTTATTTATCAGACTAAACAATGTTTTGTTGTTTTGTGTGCTCTTCATCTTTGTTGTTGGAAAATGTAGCTAGTGTTTGTTGACCCGATCGCACTATTATGAATGCCAAGCGTCTAAGCTGGTGAAAAGTGGGGCGCCGGTGGTGCAGTGCTTTGTGTGCACAGCCCATGCACGGAGGATGTAGTCCTCCTTTTTGCCTTCATTAGATAGGACAGCTGAGGACACGCAGGAAATGTTGGGAGAAGAGAGTGGGGGATGACATGCGGCAAAGGCCTTAGGTTGGATTTGAACCCAAGGCCGCAACGAGGACCACATCTTCTGTACATGGGACGCCCATCATAACCGCTAGGCTATCCCGCACCCCACACTTTCTGTTTTTTAACATAAATAAACAAGATGAGAAAAATAATCTCATCCCCTCCAACTTTCCCCACAAATATCTGACCCCATTGGACTGCCTCTGTACATGTGGCGCACAATATAACCACTTGGCTACCGACGCCCAACTAGCGCTGCTTTTTCCAAACACTGCTGACAGCCAGTGCTTCTTTTAAAAAGAATATACTGAATATGGGATTGTATCTTTTTTAATTAAACATTCTTCAGCACAAACTCTTAATTTACAGCGCACAAAAACTTTATAAAGATTGCCCTAATTCATATCAAACCTGCCAAGTCTGCATCAAAGTTTGAAATAAATTGAAATTTTCAACCCACTTTGGCAAACAGGCGTTTCTCAGACAGAAGTTTTGCTCCTGACGGAGTGAGCAGCAGCCACCCACTAAAAGAAGCTTGCAGATAGCTGTCTCACATTGTTGTATTATCCGGCAGACCGCTAAAGTTTCCTTTGCTCTAGTTCTCGTCACCTCTTCATGTGGAGCAGAAACACTTTTGAGGGAAAAAAAAAGGCTGAGTCAAAGAGAGTTTGCACATGAAGGCAGCGCTCCTCCGGTGTCTGGGCTGACGTCAGCGCCACGTTGTCGGGCTTTAAACACGGAGCAGACACATCGTGAGACCTCTTTGATTCTGCTCCATTTCCAGACGTTCGGCTGCATCAACCCAAATCTACCATTATGTAACCGACAAAAATAGAAGCATGGCTTATTTTCACTGTGATGATTATGCAAGTCTCAAGTCTGCAGCAGTTGGTTTCATACTTCAGGAAAAGGAGATGAAATGATGTCTGCTGAGAAGTTTGGAAACACATTCAGAAGAGTGACACACTAAAGTTAACTTTCGCAAACAGTCTGCTGTAATGTTACTTAAGGTAATGTGTGCTATGTAGCTAATCGGCTACACTTAATGCTAATGCACCTGTTTGTTATTACTCTTACTGAAAGTGCGATTAATGTACTTTATAAGGCAGCATTTAGAAAGAGAGAATAAGAGTTCCCAGCTATAGAGGCCCTCAGTACGACTGACTTTGTTAAGGTTAAATATATTTTATTAATTTAAATTTATGAGTTTTGTTTTTTGAATTTTCTGGTTTATGAATTTTTTTTTTTGAAATTTCTGGTTTACGCTCTGTTATTGAGAGACATGCTTCTCACACACAAAGGCCTGAAACACACACAAACAGGATCTGTGGACATGTATTAGTGGAGAGATGTCAGAGTCCCTACAGACTGAGCTACTTTCTTAACAAACCGTTACATGGCGCCCGCCTGTCAATCAGGTCAGCTACGCGCCTAACTATGGATAACACGTATCGTTCACGAAATCAAAACAGAGCAGTTTGGAAAAAAAAAGTGTGTGCCCATGATGACACAAATCAGACCTATTCCGTTTTTTGTACCAGGCTGTAAACATGTTTGTTTATGCTGTAAAAACTGCTTTTTGCCAGTCATGTGTGTGTGAGACGTCCGGGGTTCCTGCAGCCAGCCAATTGGACACTCGACGTACTGCAGGATTTTGTACTGGCTTCATTTTAAAAGATTTGAGGTTATTTAAGCAGCGCTGTCGGCCTAAAACAACAGAAATAGGAATAATTAGTTTAACCGATTAGTAATTCTGGTGCCAACTACCAGGGGTGGTGAGATGTGATTTTCCTATAATTGTTAAATGTAGATGATGGGAAAATGGTTCCAGGTGTTAAAATGCCAGAATGATCGTTTACCAATCAAAGCTGCAGACATGGTGTAACATCTCGTAACTGCACATTTAAAAATGTACAACCTGGCAACCCGCATATTCCTCTTGTTACTGGCTTATAACTGATATCTGTATGATGTGACTAATTGTATACTCACTGATAACGCACTACTTCATAGAGGGTGTCCTTTTAGGAATAAACACTCTGAGAAGGTTGATTTATTTGCTCTTGAAGGACAAACGAGAGACAGTTGAAAATTGAGAGAGGAGCTGGCACAGGGTACAAGATGATCTGCATGTGGGTGAGGGAGTACAAATTAATGATTAATGCATGAAGATGCATATTTATGTGAGGTGTAAATGGAAAATAGCTTCATCAGATCAACCTGGTTAAATGAATGCTGATGTAAATGTGGATCAGTGTGCGCTACATGCAGTGTCTATGTGTGAGTGATAACGCATGGGCTGTGGAGTCTGTGTTGACTCAGTCATACATAGAGCAGTGAACTGAACTCCCAGAGACTCAGAGGTGAGAAGTTGAAGGCCGGCTGTGATGACTTTCTGGCTCTCGCTCAGCCATCAGCATCCGCTCACCAGCACAATTCTGTGGTGAAGGGCGTACGTATTGTGCACGAGGGCTGGGTGAGGGAGTGTCAGAGTGAAAGATCAAACACTGTGTGTGTGTGTGTGTGTGTGTGTGTGTGTGTGTGTGTGTGTGTGTGTTTATGTGCGCGTGTGTGAGAGCGAGCGCAGGCCTGGCCAGCCGGTGCGAGTCACCGCCAGTAGCCATGTTTTATTCTGTTTCATGTTGCAGACACGCCTGCCACTCACTGTCAGAGCCAGCCCACTCAAATAGCTTCAAAGAGCTTCACATCAGCATCAGTGGCTTCATTAGGTGTACACACACACACACACACACACACACACACACACACACACACACACACATGCAGTGCAGCAGGGTACACAGAGGTTATTCTCTATGAGTGAGTGGAAGGTCATTGTTTTTTTTTCCTGCATGCTGGTTTTTATTGCTCTATATGGAAACTTGTCAGACTTGGTTCAGATTTGGGACACAGACTCTCACACTTGAGTCTGACTTCCCCAATTAGCAGTCAGTCATGTTCTGTATGTTTGGGGAATAATACTCTAAAATTAAAGCTTCTAAGACTTTAAAGTTGTAACGAAACTGACGGCTGTTTAAGGTCTTTTTAAAACAGAAATACCTTCCATTCATTATCAAGCACTGGCAACTTTTAAAGAATCATTCATGATACTTCACAGTTGGTCATTTTATGGAAAACATAAAGAATGTTGATGGCTCATCCTGCACATTGAAGTAATACTTTTTTCTATCTATTTTTTTACACTTTATCAAATGGATATGTTTCCTTCCACTCTCATCCAGGCAGGTTGCCCCATGACACATGGAGTTGCTTTTCCTCTGACTAAATTGTTAGTTTGGGGTTTTTGGTTGGGGGGTTTTTTGAGCCCAGAATATTCCGTCAGATAACTCATGTTTGTAATTGTTTGAAATATTTACCACAGCAGCAGAATATAGTTTGTGTCCTCACCACTGCATGCAGATTTATTTTCCATGGCGACATTTGAGGAGTGATGAGATAATATCGTTAACCCTCTAGTCCGAGCCTGCATGTGCACGGGACATTTTTCAGCTTTAGTAGACGGCCAAATTGGGAATACTGTATGTGTTTGTCAGGTGATTTTGCAGAACAGTGCAGCAGGAGTCACCTGCCTGAATGTTTGTTAAGCACAGTGACACAAAATAAGTAAATCTTTCAGGTAAAAATTTCAGGTAAACTACCCCTGAAAATCCTCCTGAGTTGCTTGTCACAGCCGATCATGCAGCACATGCATGTCACAGCGGGAGACTATCCAGGCTGTGTCCAACACAATGACAAGTGTTGCCTTTAAGTCAGTGTGTGGTGTGCACTTCAAGAAATTCACAATTCAGAACATACTGGTGGAATGAAAACATAATGAGGCATTTTCACAACGTGCATGGAGATCGTAGCGGTCGACTGCATACTGTCAATAATAGTCGCGTGCCCAGTCGCAGCATATAAACGTCACCGCCCCCCCCCCCCCCCCTCCCGCTCGCTCACAGTGACTTTTTTTTGGGGAGATTTGTGAGAGTGTTAAAGAACCATAAAAGAGCAACTCAAGGAGTGCCTGTTAGCCTAGCGGTTATGTTCCCGCGCCCCCCAATGTACACAGCTTCACAGCTGACGTGGTTTCAAATCCAACCTCAGCCCTTTCCTGCATGTCACCCCCCCCCCACTCTCTCCTTCCATCATTTCCTGTCCCTCTTCAGCTGTTCTAAACAATAAATGCAAAAAGCACCCCAAAAATAAATTTAACAAAAGAGCAACTCAAAAGTCTTTGAGCAAGTTATTTGCCGCTAAAATTTGTAAAAAACAAATTTGATTCAGGATTAGAAATAGCAGAATTCATTTGGCTTGTATCAGAACCTTTTCCACTTTTCCAGAAATTATCATCATCAGGAATGGCGTTCACACCCATGCAGCACTCCATGCATCTGATTTTGCGTTACACTAAAAGGAGCTCAAAGCTAACATGCTCTTTGTCAGATCAAAACTCTGAATGTCACAAAGTTTTCTGTCCGCTCATTTCTGCCGACTTATCGTTCCTTCCACAGATCCTGCGCATCTGTACGAGATACACCCCAGACCAGGACACCATGACCTTCTCCGACGGGCTCACCCTCAACCGAACGCAGATGCACAACGCTGGCTTCGGCCCGCTCACCGACTTGGTGTTCACGTTTGCCAACCAGCTGCTGCCCATAGAGATGGACGACACAGAGACAGGCCTCCTCAGCGCCATCTGTCTCATCTCTGGAGGTGGGCGAGCCGGGGGCATTGAGTGAGGGGAGGGGTGGGAGACAGCAGGGCAGAAGGATATGAACTCAGATGGAAAGAAAAAGGACATAGATGTTAAGGAGAAGCATGTTTTCTTTTTCTTTAGACCGGTCATCACTTGTTGAAAATGTGAGGAAGTTGACTTTCCTTATCGTACTCTTACAGTTCAAACTTTAAAATTCAAACTTTTGACAATATAAGATGTTAAAAAGGTGACATTTGTCACCGTAATAAATCTTAAAATAGCAGAAGAAGAAATTAGCTTCAAATGATCCCTTTACTAGTTTTTGAAACACTCTGTGTATGAGAAGTACTGCTGGCTATATTTAAGATGTCTGTTGCTATTTCACTGATACTACTAAAAGCCGTTTTCACACATGCACTCCTAAACATTTCTTGGCATTGTTAGGGGATGGGGTTGAGGGGTGAAAAAAAAAAAAGCCCCAGGTCCATATTATTAACAACTTATCCAAGATGGCATACAAAGCAACGGAGTCCAACACTGTGGCAGTTAAAGCCTTCATACCAATGCTGTTAGATTAGACTTATTCACAGTATGGAATAAAGAGGGGAAAAGAGCAAGCTGGCGAGCAGAACACAGTCGGAAGCAGTTTTATTACGTGCACCAAATTCTGGCCGCTCAGCAGTTGCAGGATAGAAATGTCATCACCCTCAGCCCCTCACTCAGTCACCCACTCACCCCCTCACTCACTCACCCCCTCACTCACTCGCTCGCTCACTCACCCACTCACTCACCCCCAACTGTTTGATAACTATTTCATAGATTTATATAACTTTATAATTTATATATATATTAACAGTAAAACCAGTAGGAGACATGTTTTCCCCCTCACTCACTCACTCACTCACTCACTCGCTCGCTCGCTCACTCCCCCCCAGTCACTCTCTCACTCACTCACTCCCTCACCCCATCACTCACTCACTCACTCACTCACTCACTCGCTCGCTCGCTCACTCCCCCCCAGTCACTCTCTCACTCACTCACTCCCTCACCCCCTCACTCGCTCGCTCGCTCACCCACTCCCTCACTCACTCGCTCACTCACTCACTGGCTGAATCACTCACCACATTACTGACTCCCTGACTCACCCACTCCCTCACCCCCTCACTCATTCACTCACTCACTCACTCACTCACTCCCTCACTCCCTCACTTTTTCCTGTGTGTTATCCCATTCACCTCGGTCCATCAGCGCTCTTCATTATAATCTCCTTAAAGGGAGATTTTGCATATTTTCAGCCGAAACTTTTACCTTGATTTAGGTCAATAGTTTCATATGTTCTTTGTATATCTCAGCATATGTGCAAAATGTATTGTTAGTCTAACAAAAGCATGTTCCTTTGAGTTAGAGGATGTCCTTGAAGACTTACAGACTGGTTCAGCTTCTGGTCTTACCTTTGCTTAAATTCCACACTAAAAAAAAACTACACTTCAAACAGAGAAAATGACAATGACTGAAAAATGAGGGCAGAGGATGTTATGGATGGAGAGACATCCTACAAGTTTTGGTCGACTGGATATTCAGCTGACTTGA